GAAAGGGATTGGGGTGAGAACATGAATATTATCCTTCAAATCTTTGTTTATCCTACATAAAGCCTAAATCAAGACTCGATTTACGATCAACATTATATGGAACACAAAATACATTCATTATTATACACAACACTAAAGACTGCATAGTCAAATACTATTTTTTTCAACATATATTCTGACCCCACCTTCCTTCATACCAAATATGCACTTACCACTTAGAACAGGGAAAAAAAGCTTAAGAAAATCGGAGAGACTAAAACTTGGATATGGACTTCAACCCCACAAAGCCTACCGACCTGCCAAACTTCACAAAAGAGAAAGCAAGTCCCTCAGACTTGCTCATAGCTAATCACAGTGTAAAAATACAAACTCATAGACAAGTTTCTGCAGAATCAGGACCGTAATAGGTAATTTCCATTAAAACAGTAAGTATTCTTGTAAAAGTTCCCTGCATTTCATCTTCTATGCTTAAGGTTACTTGTTATGATTAAGGATTCCAAGATCGTTTGAACCCAATTGCCAGTAACAAAATATTTCTTGCCAATATAGATCAGACATCGTATTTTTTATTATCTTTCATACATAATTTGCAAGAAAAATTATTAGTTTTTAGACATGGCTTGAAGAATAAATCCATGCTTTTGTGGCAAAAAGCCCATTTTTCCAATGATTTATAGATGTGTCACAGGGTAAAGTGGACAGTACCGCTCAAAGATTCTTAAGTTTTCCTATCTCTAAGGGGAACCACAGGCTCTTTAAAGATTTCTTTTCCAAGAGCCTGGCTTTGCTCTGAGAAGCATACATTTTAAATACATATTTAATTCTGACTATATTATGATCTTTTGCCTAAGTAAGTTCTGCACCACCAGAGGAGCTTAATATTCTGTTGCAATTCTACAATAAACTGAGAAATATTTTTTAGACAAAAATAATAAGAGCAATGGACGCTGCTTGAGCTGACTATTACAACATTAACTAGGTATTACTTCTAAACTGATAATCCTACATTTTATATGGATGCTGCACACCAGAAGGTCACTTTATGCCCACGTGGCATGACACTTCTGAACAAAAAGACCAAATTTAAAACAAATTATAAGTCACATTCTAGATCTTCAGTAAAAATCCTAGGTGATAAACAAGATTCCTACACAAGTCTGAATTTTAATTCACTAACACATGTAATTTTTAATTTTTTTTTAATCCAAAGCAAAAGCAAATTGACTTTTTTTTGTTATACTAAGAACTCTGCAGTAAAGCCAGTCACATACTATCCTGAAAACTGAGAATCGACAAGAGTCCCTGAAGACAACAGGTAGTTACTTCAACGAAGTCACTTGGCCTGCTGCACGTGTGCAACAACAGCCCATTATTTCACAGGCATAACTTCTCCTCCTGTACTTGGGCAGGATGTTTAATTTCAAGCCTGGACAAAATAGGAAGGCTGAATATAAACCTAACCAGCTGGCAGTAAGGCTAAACAGCACAAGAAATAAGTCAGAACAACCAAACTATGGAAAACAATGTCTTAAGAGGAAACAGCACTCGGTGCTGGTGCCACAGAGGGCTCCTGGTGAAAACCAGGCTCTGAAAAATCAGACAATCCAAAGAAATCAATCCTACAAACTTGAGCAACCACGTGGCTTCTCAAGCATACCAGTAGATTATTAAAACATCTGACAGGAACCAAGAGAAATTGAAATTTATTTCACATAGTCTTATATTTAACTTGAAGCAAGGCACCTAGGTTTCCTCTACAGCGGAAGCATCTACATTTCCTCTCTGGTGGAAATTCCAAACAGAGATTCAATTTATACTAGAATAAACACTTATGAAGGAAAACCCTCTGGAGCTTCTAACTCCTCTCCTCTATCCCCAGCAGTTACCATAGAGAAAACCTTACCTCTGACTTCCAGATGTCCAAAAGTCAGTAAGATTAACCTAGATGTGCAGTATGCCATTTGCAAAATACCAAAGAACTTGCTCAATCTACCTTCTCAAGTTTCCCCAAAACATCTATTTGCTCCCCACCTGAGAAACTCAGCAATGTTTTCTGAGCTGAATGTGAAACACTTTAGCACTATATCCAAAATCCTAGACCTCAGACAAAATAATTCAAGACTACTCACTTCTACTGCCCCAGACAACTGTGAGAAATCTGGACATGCCCGGTACACATGCACAGCTAAGTCCATGCATGAGGCAAATACCCCCCACATCCAAAGCACTCATTCCATTTGTGCAGATGATCTCCTTTTCACAGCAACACCAACGCAAGCTGAAAACATGTTGGTTTCTCAGCACAGACAAGTCACCTGAACAGCACACAAGCAGGCCCAGAACTCCTTAAGTACAAACTTGCAGCTAGCATGCAACAAAAAGTACTTATTAACAGCTGGGAAATCCCAGACAATAGTGTTGCAACTCTTTGCTTGCTGCCTAGTGAGCCCAGGGAGCAGACAGGTATCTCTGGCCCCTACAGCCAACAGTCAATAGCTGACTGCCTGCAGGCCGCTCCAAGGATGCTCCTTGCAACCAGGAATTACGAAATTGGCTCTGGAAGTAACTCACACGGCAGGGCCAAGAACAAAGGATGGGACAAACAAAAAGTCTTTCCAGAATGCAAGAGCTTCAGTGGGTGTATTCTACATTCCTCTACATCCCATATATGCATGAATGTAAAACTGGCTTCTAGAAACTTCACCCTGGAAGCTCAATTTTGCCTTCCAACCTCTTCAGAGGCAAAAGCAAGGCAAAAAACTCACAAGGCTAAGGCACCTAATAAATGGACCCACAAAAGTATCCTTACAGCTT